TTGTCGTCCTGCAGCGGTTTCAGTAGAAGGGGGTCGGCGAGGGGCAAACCGTAGTTGACCGAGTTGACTTTCCGTTGTTAGGTTAGGTTACGTACCTCTACTATTATTTTTTCGGGGAACGTACCTACGGGATGGTTCATAATTTTACTTTTATCAAAATGGGCCATCATAATATTTGTCTTATGGATTATATCATAAACTAATTAATATTAACTAATTATTACTTAACTATTAATTTATTTACTTTTATTATCCTTTTGAGTTTGTTATGATTTATAACAATAATATAATAATACATTATATATTTACATTCAGTAATTACTATGTATTATAATAATTAAATTTTTTTTTTAAATTTAGTATACAGTGTGTCCCGTGTTATATGTACCACTAAATATCTCAGCCCGATGGTCTTAGATTTAAAAACAGTTTGATGTGATAGAATTTCAAATTTCGCGCATGCGCAATACAACTTAAGTTTTTTTTTAATAGCAACCCCTATTTTTGACACCAGATATGGGTAGACCATTTTTTTTTAGTACATTTTAATCCATTGACCATAATCCTAAACACAAAATTGACCAAGTTACAGAAGTTTCCTAAATTATAGGAGTAATTAATATATATTTATATATAAATATCATCTTACCATAATTTATGACCGGTTTAGCCGATACTCTACTAGGTCCTGGCTTTAATTCATCATCTTTAATGACCAATTTATTGCATACTAAGGATAAACAAAATAAGTTAATGCCCACCTTTGTAAATCATAATAACATGTATTATATTAATTAATAGGTCTGGGATTTATATGTAATAAAAAACCAAAATATGTATATATGTAATTAAAATTACCAAAATATGGGGGATAAAATAAAGAATATGTAATAAAAAAAATTTAAAAATATGTTAACGAGTTAAAATAAACCAAAATTAAGTTATTAATATTTAACAAATATTTTTATATATTTATTTCCTATTATGCATTATACACATACAATTTTTACGATATAGTATATTACCATTAAATTTTTTGAAATTTTGTTCTGCAAACTCAAGTTTCTCTGTAAATGTCTGTGCCGGTGTTGATGCTCGGTGTACCACTATAAGTTAAGCAAAATAAATATTAAAATTGTCAAATATAACACAATTATGTTAGGATACACACACTACCTTATTAATATAATTAAATATATATATCTACAACATTATTTTATCAAAAAACTAACGCTTGTCATCATCAGCATTACCAACAACTTTTACATCAATGACCACTTTATTGCATACTAAGGATAAACAAAATAATAAGTTAACAAATTACACTACCAAACTTAGTACTTACGATCCTCGACAACAACCCTAACTACTGTGCACAGGGCACACATACACGATATGTCCTCTTCACCGAAGTAGTGATTGCTATATTGGACAGTTACTTCTACGCCTGAATTAATATCAGATATTGTTTCTAACGAAATTTTCCCGTCGGATTCAGGCTTAAAACGACTATTAGGAATACAGCTATGGTTTACATATGCAATAGGACCGAGCAGCAAATGCATTGTCTCAGATTTCCCACTGTATATCATGGAAAAATCATTGACACCTATAATGAAAAGTAAAAATAAATAAATACTATAAAAATGTTAATGTATAATAAACAATGTAAGGTACCTGGTATGATGTATTTATCATCAATCGCGAAGTGATGTCCTCCTAACTCTATCAGTAATAAGTTACACAATATTATTTTCTTACAGAAACATGCGACAAGTATGGCAAAGGGAACAAGATGCTGCTGCGGCCAATCCAATGTTGCAACCGAAAAGAGTGACCATGCACATGGTCGCCGACCCGAACAATGACCCACGGCGATACAAACCAGCTGCTCATGTGAACGAGGTAGCAGTTGTCTTTGTTGGAGAAGATGGTCTACCACCAGGAAACCTCGATCTGGTCATCTATGACTCGAACCCAGTTGACCCAAATCACCGGATGCAAAGCATATCAGCTGGCTCACCTCATGCAGATCCAATGCTGTATCCATTGCTCTTCCCACTTGGAGAAACCGGCTGGCATTACAACCTGCAACAAGAGGGCGTCCGCCGGAACGCAGTGTGTGTTCGGAACTCTATCAGAGAGTTTGCTTCTTATCGCCTGGCCATCAGATACACCGGAACCAATAGCAATGGGAATGAAGGCCATACGTTTAGTTTATTACACTCAGCTGGTTTTTTGTTACAGCAGTACATATGTGATCAGTACGTTCGCGTGGAAGCGAACAATCTACGTTACATCCGAGACAACCAGAAAGCACTCTTTGCTGACGCCTATCAAGGCCTTCTGGACCATATTAACCAACAGTTCCGCCTAGACGAAATCGATCCGGTCGGCCGCAGGACAATTCTGCCTTCGACGTTTCTAGGCGGCCCTCGGTACATGAAACAATGTTACCACGACGCAATGTCCATTGTGCATAAGTAAGGAAAGCCTGACTTATTCATAACATTTACGTGTAACCCTAGGTTGCCAGAGATAGAAGATAACATTCCGCGTTGGTTGAAGGCAACCAACAGGCCTGATTTGGTTTCGAAGGTGTTTCACGCAAAACTGAAGGAGCTAATGCTTGACATCACGGTCAATAAGGTGTTTGGTAATGTAGATGCTTATGTTTACAGTTTACACCATTGAGTTTCAGAAACGTGGTGTTCCACACGCACATATACTCATCATCTTGGATGAGGACAGCAAGTTACTTACTGCCGACGCTGTCGACAGTGTTGTGTGTGCCTACTTGCCTGACCCTGCATCCGAAAGGCGCCTACTCGACAGTGTGAAATCGCACATGATTCATGGTCCGTGTGGACCACTCAACCGCCACAGTCCGTGTATGGTGGACAACGGTTGTACGAAGAAATATCCCAAAGAATACAGCGAGGAGACTGTATACATTTCTGATTTTGGTTACCCGACTTATCGTAGACCGAACAATGGACTTGTGGTCAACGTCAGAGGTCATCCTGTCGGCAATGAGTTTGTTGTCCCATACAGCGCCTTACTGGTCAGGTATGATGCACACATAAACGTTGAGGTGTGCTCTACCGTGAAGAGCGTAATGTATTTGTATAAATACGTCTACAAGGGCCATGACGCAGCTACCTTGGACATTTGGGATGGAGATGAAATTGAAAAGTAATTGAATTAAACTTATAGTTGTAATTGTTGACTTCAAAATTACATTCCATCTATCATTATTGTGTTAGATTATTATTATGATAAAAATGGTATTAACATTGTCCAACAGTCAACCGAAATCATTTTAAAGCTGCATCAATCTCAGTAATGTTACCTTAAGTGTTATTCTGGATATGTCATAGATGTTGTTGGTGAATTTTATTTTCATTAATATTCATATTATACAATATAATAATATTACATTTCATTTAGTGACTTTTGAACCAATAGCGCTGCTCAAGTTAAAATGATTCAATTGTAATAACTATTATTTGTTTTAATATTTTCCTTATACACATTGTTGAGTAATAATAATAATAACAACATTTTGTTAACTACAATAACATTGCATACCACTTTAATACAATAATATTTAACTACACTCTACACTTATTAGATATATTTATATGCAACGTCAACCTAATATTATTTATTGTAATCGAAAGCAAATATTCATTGTGAGGTAATCTCATTCCTATGATTTTTAGATGTATATGTTACGGTCAAAAGCCGAAATCGGGCAAACCTCAGAAATGCCCGGGCAAAACGCTAACTGCCCACAATCCTTGGGCAAAATGTCATATTTCGGCTTTTGACCGGGCAAACCTAGTTATGACCAACCTCATTTGGGCAAAACCGTATACTGACTTTTATCGTAATGGCAAAACCGTAGTGTCTTATATACGTTCGCTAATATTAAATGCAAATAGTGATTTTTGTAGTACTAATTTATTACGATTATAAATGACCCCACGTATCTTGTTAATTTATCGTTGTTATCGTATTTTATCAACTCGTTACCAATAATATTAAAGGTACACAAAATACACCTTATCTAAATGATACAATATTGTACCGTAGTTACTGTAGTTCGTATTTTTGTGAGCTTATAATAGTACGTCTTAAGCGATGGCTAACGAAATGTATGTGTCTGATTTTAAAACTAAATTTGAATTAAAACTTAAAGAAATTACAAAAAGTGAATGCAGTGCTCTAATAAGTGATACAAGATATGATGAACTCATAAAAGAGGTAGAATAACAAGCGAAGGTCAATTCCAAGAAAACAACGAGCGAATACAGGTGGGCGAATTATTATTTAAGTGTATTCAATTATATCTGTACAATATTTTATGATTATTATTTTTTTGTACCTATGTGGTTATTATAGACGCTACAGTTTGGCTAAAGTGAGGTTTAAACGTATTAATTAAGTTTATTCAATTATGTTTGTATAACTGTACTATTGACACTACGGTTTTGGCATTACGATAAGTCAGTATACAGTTTTGCCCAAATGAGGTTGGTCATAACTAGGTTTGCCCGGTCAAAAGCCGAAATATGACATTTTGCCCAGGGATTGTGGGCAGTTCACGTTTTGCCGGGCATTTCTGAGGTTTGCCCGATTTCGGATTTTGACCGTAACATATACATATATATATATATATATATTATTTTATTCCTGATTGTTTATGATATACGTTGATGTTGATTTCAGTTACATAAACTCACGGTACGTCAGTCCACCAGAAGCTGTTTGGAGGTTATTTTCGTATGAAATGCATAACAAGAGTCATACGATCATTAGGATTCCTGTCCACCTGGAAGACTATCAGAACGTGTACTTTGGAACTGGACAGGTACTAGAGCGGGTGCAGAACGCGGCTCTGGCTCGAACCAAACTCACGGCATTCTTCGACCTCAACGCGACGGTCGAAGAGACTAGACAGTACCTTTACTAAGTGTTTGGACGCAATCAACAGGATGCTTCGTGGTCACGGAAAATCGCTTGCGGACTACGATTTGCCACTACCGGACGTCACATTGCTAGAAGAAGACCCGGACGATGACATATTTGGTGCTATAGACTCGGCGGTGAGCTGGGCCGTACAATTGGACAATTTGAACGACGAACAACGGACAGTGTTCAATCGTGTGATGGCGGCAGTAGACAACAACAGAAACGTATCAAAACTTTTCTACATTGACGGTCCCGGAGGAACAGGTAAAACAACACTATACGGGTGCCTCATTTGGTCGCTTCGCAACCAAGGGCGATCCGTGTTGTCCGTGGCTTTTACAGGATTAGCAGCGTCGCCCATGGACGGCTGCATGACAGTGCACTCGACGTTTGGATTGCCGTTCGGTACACTGAACGACGATTCGACGTCGACCATCACCTTGCAGTCGTTGCGTGCTCAGAGGATACGTGACGCAGCACTCATCGTCTTTGACGAAGCGCCCATGTCTCCGGGACTACAACTCACAGTGGTCAATAGGTTGCTCCAGGACATCATGGGTTCAGAATTGCCGTTCGGCGGTAAACCGGTACTGTTCGCCGGCGACTTCAGGCAGATTCTACCTGTCGTGCGCAGGGGAACAAGGAGTGACATCGTCAGGTCGTTTGACGCGGAACATGCGCGCCGATGATGACGCTGACTTCGCAACATGGTTGCTTCAGCTCCAGCGGCCAATTGTAAGCGGTTGACGGTGTTCAGGACACCGTTGAAATACCCCGGGAAATGGTAAGTGAGGTCGCTAATTTAACTGATTTTGTTTTTCCGCAGCGAATGTCGTTGGCTAACGTCAACGAGTTTGCTCGGAAAATAATTTTATGTCCCAGGAACGACGAATGCAGGCAGGTCAATAATACGGTGTTACAACGCATTGACGGAGTTCACCGAACCTACACGGCCAAGACTAGGTTAGGTTGGTAATAAAAAAATATGTAATAATACCTTTTTTCTCGAATTTCCCTCTTCCTTGATTTTCACAAGTGAGACATGCACAATGCACATTCACTATTATTACATCCAAAAAAGTGGTGACCATAATTCACAGTAATTTCTTAGGTAGAATTTTTTTTAAAGTATTAATATTGATGTAGGTTGGATTTCCAATTGACCGAAATTCAGCATTGGCCTCACAGTCGTGGTTAATGTATGCCGCAGGGCCAAGGTATCTTGTTTGTTTGCCAGTACTTTCTCTGTGGTTTATGGAGAAGTCGTTTTCACCAATTCTGATGTCCTTTCGGTCAATATAAAAAATTAAAATTGATGATTTTATAGTCTCTATATCAGCATCTGACCATGTATGTCCTCCATATGTTGCTTTTAAAATATCAAAAAAAAAACTGTGGCGATTCGCGCCCGAACAATATATAAAAACGTGGCGATTCGCGTCCGAACAATATATAAAAACATGGCGATTCGCGCCTGAACAATATATAAAACTATGTAGCGATTCGCACTTTGATGGAAACAATAATTTTGGCAATTCGTGCCTTACAATATCCGTAACGGGTTGCTCACGACGACGGACGGAGGAAGACAAAAATGTTAAGGCGGCAGTGTTAATTATATTCGCGCAGCCGATCCGGCGGCGTACGATGACTACAATTACTACTTTAATCTACATATTATATAATTTCTATACTTATATAAAATAGAAATAAACAGTAAATATGTGTGCGTGTGAGCCGGCCGGTGGCGATATATTATCAATGGCTTAGTGCACACTAGTTATAAGTCACAAAAGTGAAATTGTGCAGGAGAGCTATTTTAAATTTTAACTTTTTTTAAACCCACTTAATATAAGTAATATTTAATCTAATCGTTTTTTCTAAATTTGTATTAATTAAAAAATATATGTAGTTTCCTTTTAATATATAAGTTTAATTCATGTAACATGTATTTATTTTTGTTATTGACTTTTTTTTAAAAATGATGTGGAGTTATAACTATTGGACAAAATAAATTTTGATAGACATGGACCTATAATATTAAATGGACTTATAACAATTACTTTTTGTAAAACACATAATAAAATTAATAATTCTCACTTTTAATGAAATATATTCAATTAAAAAAATCAAATGTAACATTATACCTTACATTAAAGATTAAAACATAATAAACTTAAAATCTCTTCCTTGAGATTAAACAAAATACAATCAAATATAAATAAGTAAAAACTAATTATAATTTTGCTAATTAAAACAATAACAAAATTAGTAATTTTCATAAAATATCTTCATATCTTCAATTAACAAAATCAAATGTAACATTATACCTTACATTAAAGATTAAAACATAATAAAATTAAAATCACTTCCTTGAGATTAAACAAAATACAATCAAATATAAATAACTAACAAAATCTATTATAATTTTGCTAATTAAAATAGTAACAATATTATTTAAAAACTATTAATAATAATAATTGATGTATGAGATCAATAGTCATCATCAGTCTCTTCAGTTTCTGAATTTAAAGGAACTTGGTTACTTTTTTTACAGCATTTAAAACTACGGTAATAATGACTGTAAATAGGTGGTATAACGCCATCTTTAAGTAGTTTCATCAAATCTTCTTTTTTTCACTAATGGGTTGTTGTTTTTTATACTTCGGAGCTAACTCAAGAAAACTGACATTTTTTTTAGAAACGTCAATAGTATAAAAATCATCCTGACTTAATTTATATTTGAATTTAATTAAGTAAGGGTTTTCTTTATCAAACCTTAACCATTCGACTAAAAGCCATTTCATTTTTTGATTTGCTGTTCCATCTACAAATCGGTTCCAACATAATTTTGAAGACAAATCTTGGAGATCATAAAATGCAGTAAAATCATTGGTTTTCACATTATAAGGTCGTAGTTTCTGTCTAGCTGTTTGAAGAAGTAATGACCATTCTTGGGTTGTGTAGATTTTTTTATGCTTCCTTGCTCGCTCAATAGTAGAGTGCATCGAATCTACCTCTAAATATAAGTGACCTGACTCCATAAATTTCATATCGATAATTTTCAAATGTTCAATATTGCTCACAGCATATAACATTGCAGCAGCTACATTCTTGTTACGATTCTGTCCACCGCAAGTATCTGAGAATGTAGATACATGTGACACACTATCTGGCAAAGAATATAAATATTGTAAGATACAACTTCCAATTTCAGACGAACCTTTACTTCCATTACTTTCATCCCACAGGTAACAGTACCCATGGGCATTAGGATTTTAAATTGAGGGATACTAACCATATTTATGTTAAGTCTGGACATATAATAAGTGTGCATTAAAATAACTGTACAAGTGCAAAATTTAAGGACTTATCACTAAAAGTCGAGGACTTAATACATTAGGGCAAAAATAAACATAGCTAACTGCCATTCATTATAAGTGAAAATAATAAATATCACATGAAATATTTGTTTTAGAATACAAAGACCTTGTAAAAAAAACAAAGAGAATTCAATTTTCTATCGATTAGTATCAAAAAGTGTTTTTCGGAAAAAATGGACTTATAACAAGTGTGCACTAATGGTGATACGGCGGCGACAGATATACAATATGATGCAACATAATATTATGTTGAACATAGTGTAATGCTATTAATTTTATGTTCAAAAACAGTAAAGTTATTAATTGTTTTAAATACAGTTTCAAAAACTTACATACATTAGTACATATTAATATCAATTGTAAATTCTTCAGAATATAAAAGAAGTATAAAACTTAAAAATTGCATTTACTTGCCTAAATTATGTATGTATATTAATATGTATAAGGTATATAGTTACATAAGATACAAACAAAGTAATGTATGTATAAACTATAAAACTAAGATTTTAAATATGTATTGAAAAAAATTATATAGCTGAAATTTTAAATATAAAATATATAATATAGGTTCGGTGGGATGTGTGTGGAGGCAACGATAACATAACAATATGATTTTCCCTACAAAATTCATGTTTGTAGTGAAATATGGCTTCCATGATTGTCTAGAATTAACAATACTGGATTTTCTTTTGTGGGGTTTGAGTGATGTTTGAAATGTTTAAGCCATTTCATAAATATGTCTTCTGTAGTTCTGTGGTCCAACCATTTTTTGTGCATTCATAGACAGCTCCTGGTGGACCATGTTTGGTCAACTTCATGTCCATCCTTTTACGTGGAAAAATAAATAGAGGTGGTATGAATGACCCCGAAGCACTCATAGCACAAATTACCGTATTATTTTCTCCACGCTCCCAACTAGTAACACTGCCAATTCGTTTTTGTCCTTTCGCTCCAATTATTTTGCCAGGATCTTGTACGGTAGTTATGCCTGTTCCATCCATATTATAAACTCTAGTTGGACAAAACTTAAATTTCAACATTAATTCTCCCAAGTTTTGAAAAAAAAGCTGTACTTCTGTTTTGTTAAAAGCTGTGATCCTACTTTTACTGATGGCTTCAGGTTTTCGGACAGTAACAGCTGGGTTTCGACGAACAAAATTATAGAACCAGTCAACACCTGCTAAATTTAATTGCTGATTAAAGTTATGTTTTATTTTATTATTTTCAGCAAATTCAAATGCAACAGTTCTTAATTGAAGTCAGCCCATAAAACAAATTTGCTAAATTTATTATACGTTTCGCCATTTCTGACTCTTGTTGTGATGTGAAAATAGATAGGCATCCTAATGCAGGTGGCTAAAAGTTATTTAGTCTCTCTTGAAAAGTACTAAAGGGAATGTTATAAGTTTTGGTAGCTTTTCGGATACTCATCGTATTAGTCCTGATTGATGTCACTGCTTCTACAAGAGTTTCTGGCACCCAATTTCCTTTAGTAGTCTTTCTTTTGTAGGAACGAGGCATCTGTTTAAATTAACTAAATAAAACAGTTCAAAATTAAAATTTGAAATTGTATAAATCATACTTTTTGTAAACGCCAAACGGGGTAATACCAGTCACTAAAAAATTGACTGCTATTACCCCATTAATTTTGACCGGTATTACACATTTTAATAAGTTATGGGAAAATATTTATAACCATAAAAATACTATACTAATACATGTTTTGAGTATAAAATCATAATCCTCACAAATTTTTTATTAGTTTAACTAAAAACTAGAAATATATTATAAAATAAACTTACCTTACTTGATGTTCGAAAAAAACAAATTTTTACATCAGCAACTAACAAAAAAATTAAAGTCACATTTGAACGTGAAAACGTTTGATAATAATATCTTCGTGATAAGAATAAGGATTTGTTATCATTCCTAATGTGGTATTATCGGCGTTGCCACACTGCCGTGACCCGAAACGTGGTTCGGGTGTGCCGATTAATACTACGTGTTTTGAACCAAAACCAGAAGGTATAAAAGAGGTAGGTAGGTAAAATAAGAAGTAACAAATTCGGCGTACGATAGATGGTGTATATTTTGACATAAACAACTAATTCAAAAAATGTTATTCTACGGATAAACTTTGTTGCGCAAAATAACAGGGTGAGTCGTCGAGACGTATGGCTGCTCGAGTTGAGAGCGAAAAAGCGAGTGTCGAGAGTGGCGCGCTTAGGCGGCTTCGAGCGCGTAACGGCGAAGTCGCCGCGCGAGGAGGGAGAAAAAGTTGAGCGGCGAGTTGTTACGTGGCCAAAGACGGTACAACATAAAATAATATAATTCACAGAGATGATAAATAAAACGAATACAAAATAAATCACACAACGAGTACAATATAAAAATGGTAATATAAAAAGGGCGCGCTAACGTAAGTGGTGATAACACGTCGGAATCACCACACTAATGTATTCGTGTAGTTATCATAATTTTTGATACCATTGTTTATTAGATACCAGGGTGACCTGTAATACCCGCTGACCGTCATTCCCCCAGTCTCCCCTATATATATGTTTCGTCTAAGTTTATCAATGAAATAGAAGCAAAATAACATTCAAATTGAATGTACAAAATATAACTTTAAGAAGTATGAAGTGAACAATACATTGTTGAGTAGTAGAGATGGGACAAGTTTCCTTTAATGAACTGATTTATATTTTTAATTATCTCTCCAAGCGTCGCTGGGGGACACCCCCAGACCACCATGAGGGGGCCCTGAGTATTTTCGGTTTCCGAAGCTGCAGTGGTCTTGTGGTGCGGACGTGCGGTCGTCGGTCTCGAGCCTACACGCACACGGTATATTGGCGAATAGGAGGTATGGTGATAAGAATGTGTGATAAGACTAGGACCACTGTGGTTCGACGTGGTAGCTCGGGCAGGCCATCCGGACGGCCGGGTCGTCGCGTAGCGGACAAAGTCTTTGACAGAGTCTTTTCGACAACCCCGCCGGAAATTCAAAATTCCGTAAAAAAATAATATAGTCGTTGTATTTTTGTGGGTGTCTAGCAGGTCAGTCACCTCGAATGACGTTCACCGTAGTAATACGGGTAGGATATCTGACTTCGTCGTATAGCGGACAATGTGTGACGGCCGCAGGTCACGTCATCAGGTATACGATCCGACTGCGTCGAATCGCGGACAGCGTTCATTACTGTCACCGAAAAAGCAAAATTAAGTAAAAATCTCGTCTGGTCGTCGGTCTCGAGCCGGTCGGTGTGTGATGAGGTTAGGACCACCGCGGTTCGACGTGGTAGCCCGTGTAAGCAACAACGTTCTCAAATGCCGCCGAAAAATCGAAATCCCGTAAAAAAATCATATGGTTACTGTTATGGGTACCGCCATCAACCACTATAATGTTATCAGTTATCAATTATGTTCAAACAAGTTAGTCGGTTTTGTAACCATTTTTTCGAGCATTTTTTTAAAAGTTTACATTTGAATTTATTGAATTTATTTGAATTATAAAAAAATGGATAATAATTTATCAAAATTGATTTTGTTATTTGGTGTAAACCACCAAGTGTTTAAATTCATCGTTGGATTCAAAAAAACACCTGCTTCTTCGTTTAACATCAAAAACATCAAAAGCGCGTATAAGAAATGTTATGGTAATCACAAGCTTATATTATGATGACATTGGCTTTAATTCCATTTTAGACTCACAAGAAGTTCAGTTGAAGTAAGCAAATATTAAATTATGTAATAATATTTAATTCTATAATACATTAATACCAAATACTATTTTACTATTTACAATACAGATTCGTATGTGCAAGGTAAAACCATTTTATATTTCACCAAATTCTGTAGTTGGAAGGCCATCAGTGGACTACAAAAAGGCAACGTTGATGACTGTCTGGTATTTGAGCAATACGGAAACATTTTGGTAATGAAATTTGTATATTATGCTTTATTTTAGAACAATTAATCAGTTTTTTAACTATGTATCACAAGGTTAAATTTGTATTACGTTTAGTCAAATTGGAGATCGTTTTGATTTGAGCAGAGGTCTTGCCTGTCGAACAATTCATAAGATAATTCGAGTTTTTTCAAAACTACTTGATGATTTTGTTTATGGCCTAAGGGGAGCTCTGGAGCCGGTATATAAGCTATTTTATTCATTATAATTATTTATATTTCATTATACTTTTGTGTACATTTAACAACAATAAAAGATTTTAAAAGTTTGAGATTTGATTATATGCCTAATACAATCGGACGTATTGATGGTTGCCACATACGCATACATGCACCAAGAGACAAGAGATCTAAAATGTTCCAATCAATTGTTCTATTTGTAATTATTTGAAAAATACAAAAAATTCCAATCTAAAATTATATTAAGGTTTTGGTTTTGTATTATTCTAAATAAATTATTTTGTTCTTATTTCTTAGGCTGTATGTAATGCTAAGTTGGAATTTACCTATATTTTCAGGTTTGCATTAGTTTGGTGGTTCTATAATACTTTTCGCACTGTGTGCATTTCATTTTTGTATTATTATGTTCGTGTAAAGTTTTTTGGTGGTATACTAAATCACTTTTGTAGAAAAAAGATTTTTGACACATCGTACACTTGTGTTGTTGTTTGTTTTCACTATGGATGGTCATGTGATGGATAACTGACTCCTTAGAAGAAAATTTTTTGTGGCATGTGTTACATTCCAGTGTTAGTGCCTTATGGTGTGTAGATAAATGCTTCAGCAACCATGAACTGTATTTGAAGTTTCGTAAACAATAAAGACACACGTAATCCGGGACGGATTCAATAATCCTAAAAAATATTAAAGGACTTTAAGATTTTAGATGCAGATAATTAATGTGGGGGCAAATTTCATAATTGTAAATGTAAGCATATGTAATAAATATGACTTTGTATGCTTACCATTGTTTTCCTGGTCTGCTAAATCGTCATCATTCATATGTAGCCGCTGTGATTGTGAGTTTGTTCCTTGCGGTGAAGTGGAAACTAAAATTAAAAAAAAAAAAAAATATTATATTAACTATAAACAGTTAAATATATTTGTCATAGCTGTATGCCAATATTATGATTGATAATGACTTTTTTTCTAAAGTAAAATATATAAATATTTAAGATAATTCTTATAGATAATGATTTGTACGATGACTTTGTATGCTTACCATCGTTTACTGGGACTACCTCCATGTGACATTCACATTCGCAATCTTTGTGGTTTTCACCAAAGTAATTTCCCCCGTAATCGGTCGTTATTTCTGTGCCAATTTGTATGTGTTCAATGACTTTTGCGCACCAAACTCCCCCGCCCCCAGCTACCCATTCGGTGTTGGGGGAGCAGCAATGGTTCATGTACGCAGCAAGGCCCAAGAACAATAATTCATTATTGTTTTTGGAACTTGTTAATATTGAGAAGTCATTTACACCTATCTGAGAAGAAAAAAAAGTTTAGTATAGAGACTAAACGTATTGTTTTACCCCGTAATCCTGCACCAAGTTACGTTTTCTGGACAACTCGAGTCCACCACCACTACATACTAATTGTAAGCATTTAAAATGCATTCCTCACAAAGCAGAAAACCTAACAAAGCTATTGATATGATTGGCTAAGTCGTAGTACAATATTTTGATTTTTAATGAATTATAAACCGAATCGTGTCTACCGGAGAAGTGTATATTACGTCTACTTGATACATATCATACGAAATAAAATTACTAAAAATCCAAATTTGGTAGTACTGTTTTTAAAATGATATCACTCTACTCTAAATGACTTACTCTATACTACCAAGTAGTTTTGAGTCCCCTGGTAAGCGAATTGGACTTGTGGTACTTATTATATTATGTAACTAGTAAGAAGTTACATAATATAATAATATACTTACAGATATTAATATTGTTATAAAAGAGTTATTCATGCAGACATAAATTGCAAATTGTGTTTAATAGTTATTGGTATATACATAATAGTGAAAACATATTATATTGTATTAATAACAATTGGTGTTTACAAAGTACAAAACAAAATGTAAAAAGTTCCACAATAGCATAGTGTAACAAATGCAAATACAATCACAGTACATGGGCGTCCCCAGACATTTTTCTAGGGAGGGCAAAATTAATTTAAAAAATAAATGAAAATTTTTTTATACATTTTATTTATAGTAAATTATTATATTTCGTCATTGTTAAAATTATGAATTAAAACATTACAATTAGGTAGGTATTATTATTACAATTAAAATATTATTATACATCATTCTTTTTCATTAAATATAAATTTCAATCTCCGTGGACATTCTCTACCAAATTGTGTCAGTGCATTTTCAATAAATTTTTATTTATTTGAATTCACTTTTTCTCTATGAACACTCAACATGCATATTCCATTCAGTCTATCATCACCCATCGTTGATCGTAACCATGTTTTAACACGTCTTAATGTACTAAAAGGACGTTCTGCTGTACAGCTTGTAGCCGGAAGAGACAAAAATATTTCCAAAACAACAGCTATATTTGGAAAAAACGTACAGTTACAATTTAACAAATCGATAAAATCAATATCTTGACAGTCTTTATTTTGCCAAAAACTGTACCAACTTTCCGCTTCAGCTTGGAGATATGCTTTCAAAATACATTTTTTTCTCCAATTTTTTAAAAATGTCGGGGTGAAGATATTGTAGTAAAAATGCATTATCATTTTTTTTTTTATCAAAACGTTCTTTTAGATTGTAAAATTGAATATTGATTCAAAATGGTATAAAAATTGAAACTCTGTAATAATCTTAACAACTCTCAGTTTCATAGTTCGCTCTTAGTGATGATTATCGAACAATATTAGTAATGAATTAATATGCTCGCTGACTTTATATACAGGGTGATTTTTTTTATCGAAGAACACTCATTATTTCAAAAAGTATTGACTTTTTCAAATTTTTTTTTTTTTAATTTTTAGATTCATGCTTTTCTACAATTGTATTACATTTTAATTTTTTTCACCCTTATATTTATTAGGTAAACCACTATCAACTTTTGATTTTCAAATGGTGACCCATACAAAAATTGTTATAAACTAACAAGGCTATTTTTTTATGAATTATCACGTTCAAATTTTCATTTTTCGTTAATCCGTTGACGAGATATAGGTAGCTCCTCAAAGTTGGGTGGTTTTGTGAGGTTTGTGTGTAAATGTGTAATACCTATTTTTATGCCCCAGGGTAAAAAATGTTACACTTTTTAAATCATTTCAATTACAGTAAGCTTAAGTTGTGCCCCTAAATGTATTGTAAAACGCCCATTTGGCGGGGTATCGCGCAGTTCACCCCACTGATTGCACTGGTCATAATAAAGTTTATCAATTTTAAAGACCAGAAGTTAAAAGAAATAAACTTGATATCGTTTGACCCAAGGTATAATAGCGATAATCATTGTACCTACTCGCTACAATAAATTATTGTCATAATTTCATATTATTATAAGTAATTGGACCATTACTGTCAAATGTTGAATACTCGCGTGTGTAATCCCCACTACACACCTATAGTATAGCCATCGTAAGAACGCTACTGGGCGGCGACCAAAATTCATCCGATCTCGCGCATTCCCACCACTAAATCTTCCCGAACGCTGGCCGCCGTCAACTCTGGCCGCCGCCACTGTCGCTGCCACTACTGCCTATTTACGGCGGCGACTAGATGGTAGAGTGGGAGAAACTTGGGTACGAAACAGCGGAGCTCGGTCATTTGGATGCGCGAACGAGTAGCGTTCTTACGATGGCTATACTATAGCACGATGTAGATAATATTACTATAGATATAATATTATTATTTACATCATGAGACGTCCTAACCTATAGTAATACGAACACAAAACAAAACAGTAATGTAACAGTGATGTCTGATTAACTGATTTGAGATTACTATCGTACCTACTTTGTGCTGATATCATAGTTTCATGATCAGGTACATGATATTATCAGGGGCGTCATTTGGGGGTGGGCAGGGTGTGCGACGGCACCACTAACATAATAGAATAAATAATTGGCCCTCCATTAATGCTCCTATGCGCCGATATGATTACTATTCAAAATTAATAAAACATTCTTGGCCCAGTGGCGCTGAAGTCCAAAATTTTAACTATGACATTTGACACCTCCACATAAAATTTTGACACCCACCTATTTATTATAATTACCTTACCATACACAAAGTAAATATATTATATTTTGGCGCCATTGATTCATGCATGAAATTTATATTTTCTTTTTTTTATCAGCTTTTTTATCAAATGTATCTCCTATTTGATAACCGTGTGAATAGAGTTTTATTCTGTAGTCTTATTATGTAAGACAGTTCGTGCCAGCCTGCTGGTATCAGCTATAGTGGAGTAAGCATTGTTTTAGTTGCTTATATTATGATTTTATTAAAAGCCTTCTAATACATTGAACTGCTAGCTATTTGAAAATTACAATATAAATTACCTAGTTGATATGAGTAATTTTTTATTAGGATTATAAAAGCAGGGAAGGAGATAATATTAACATACTTAAATATTTTAAACGGCATGGTTATTGTTTAGATATTAATGTTAAAGTTGGCCTGGTTAAATGTTAAAATTGGCCTGCCTAAAATCTTGCACACCCGGAAAAAAAACTGAAATGACGCCCCTGGATATTATGGAAGTATACCAAATACCAGGTTGTTGTGGATCGAGTAGATAATTATAGATGTTATTATCCGTGATAACTGATAAATATTAAACCACAGAACAAACAGAAGGGAATCTTATTTCATTTAACATGGGTTCTTATGGGAGATGATAAAACTACGTCCGACATTTCTAAATTTTAAACGTGCTGCCACGTACCGGGAATTTTCCTTTTTTCATTATATCGTGCAGCACTGTTTATTCGTTCAAATATCTAATATATTATTATATTCAAACAATCAAACCGATTTATTTTAAGAAATTGCATTTTTACCATTTACCAGAATCCAAGAACAAAAACTAAACATATTTTATTTATCACTATCATTTAGTTGATGAATGAACAAAAATGCATAGATACACAGGAGATTTAAAAACAAATTACGTGCGCTGGTTTTAAATAATCTAAGCAGTACTAATTTTATTTTATTTTTTTGAAACTTGTGTAACTAGCACACGCAATTGCTAAGACAAATTGAAGATTTATTCTAAATAAATATACTTTTAGAAGTATGTGACATTGTTACATAACCTGTACCTATGGTCAGTAGGAATACCTCAAATTCACATTTACTACTCTCTAAAGAGCTGTAAAATTTAAATTATTACAGAGTATAAATTCAATTTATTTTTTTATTTTTTTGTATCAAAAACAAATTACATCATCGTAAACAATAATTACAAATAATAAAACAAATATAACAATGAACACGCATAACAAGTTAACATTATAATTTATTTAATAGGAAAATTCAGACTTTGATAGTTACCAAATGAGGAATATTAATTATGAAAGCACGTTAGTACTTGACTAAAAATATACAAAAATAATAAAGTTACAATAATAATAATAATAATAATACAATTAATACAAACAAAAATCATATTTTACAAATGTTTTAAAATAGCTAATTTTCTATTTTTCCTAACTTTTTCTGTTACTAAAGATTTATTTAAAAATTTAATGGATGAAAAAATTCTAAACCTTATAAATAAATTTAATAAAAATGTTTTGTTAAAATATTCACAAGGGTGTTTTAAACGTGTGTTTATTAATAAATCTTTTAACTTAGCCCCTACATTGTGTTCAGTTGCTAAGGAAGGAAAATGTTCAATAAAAATACTTTCTAATTTAAAGATATAATTGTAAAAGTCATCATGTGGCATTAATAATTTTCCATAAAGAGAATTGTCATTAGAAGTAGATTTGAAAAAACATAAAAGAAAAGATTGTTCAAGTCTTTGTTGATAATTAGCATAATTAATACAATCCTGACAAACATGTTTTTCTAAACATTTTCTCATTAGATATCCACATATATAAGTTAAAGCATTAGTTTTAGGAATATTTAATTTTCTGTAGTCTACAGTACCAATAGAGATAGGATTGAATTTAAAAAGAATATCATTTGATTGTTTGGGATTAACAATTTCTTGAAATGATGGTAAAACATTATTTAATTCATTAACTTTACAAAGAATACTATCAAGATCTTCAATACAATTCGCATTTGGAGAATGCTTGAAATATTCAAGGCAAAATATTTTTTTAAAGGCCCAAATGAACTGAATGGGTGTAGGATTATAACTATTACCATGTTGTTGACGAAATATTCCAAACAAATTTTCTAAGCAGTCTTGATTGATTCGACCTGTCTGAAGGGCAAATTCTTTTTTTTGTTCAGGGTTTAAGGTATTATACAACATTATCAAACCCGATATGCTAATCAACCAACCATTAATAAAATTTACTCTTTTAGTCACATCAGATCCATCATACTTATTAATTACTTTCATGTTTTTAAACATTTCAACCATTTTCTTTAAATGATCTAATTGATGTCCATCATTTGTGAAAGGATTATTATATATTTTGCTATTTGGTGTATCAGATGAATTAAAAATATCAAATAATCTATCCATAAAATTAATAAAATTGATTGTACATTTAGAGGTTTTTGGTAGAATACCCTGATTCAATGCTGCAGACATTCCTGCGGCTACACTATGACTAAATACATGAGCCGCTAATCTAACCTTCATTCTTTCAAAAGGACTAGGATGTATATGTGAATAAGTTAATTTAGGAGCCATTCGCACATTACACTTTGAGTCATAGTTATAAAAAGTATCAACATGTTTTTTTTCTATTACATCATCATTAACAACTAAATTGTGTTTGAAAAACATATTCCTAGTTGATTTCAACAAATGAGGTGGGTCAAAGATATATATAATTTTGTTATTATCTACTTCAAAATATGGCTCTTCAGGAGTAACACTATTGATTTTGGAAAAACTTACGAAGTTAGAACCTTGATCAGTAACAAAAGCTTTAACATTAATATTAATATTCTTCAGTTTTCGAATAGTAGAAACAATTATATTATTTAAATCACTACCTGTACAGCTATTAGAAATTAAATAATATGCAAGTGGCTGTTTCCAATTATGATTAATACCTCTAATCATAAGAACAAGGACATGTTTGGCAGGATCATATGTTTTACTTGATTTTGAATGATTGAAACCAATTATTTGATCTTTAGATAAGTTATAAAATAAGTTTGTTTTAAGTGACATTTCTTCTGCGCAGAGAATGCATTTTAACGCATCAGAAGAAAAAGTTTTAGTTTTGAAAGATAGAAAATTAAACATAAAATCATTAAGGCCAGGTTGAAATTCATATTTAGAAGTAATTTTTCTGAGAGTTCTAATAGTAGGAAGACAAAAATTTCTTTGAAGCAAATGAAAGACACTAGGACCCAGAAAATAGATTGTAAGTGCAAATTGTTTAATTTCATTTGAAAAACGCCTCCCCTTTGGTTTTTTATCTTTATTAAGGACATTATTTTTTACCACAATAAATAATGAAGGTGAAATATACTTTTTAACTAATTGGAGTACATTTTCAATGGTGTCTGACTGCTCCAAACTTACTGAAAGTCGAATAACGTAATTTTCCAATTTCTTGATAGTGGTATGAGC